GTGGTTTACCTTTCACGAGTTCATGCACTACTGTCCGTCACGGAGAGACCACACGTGCCATTCATAGGCACTCTCTGAGTTGGTACTCTCACACGAAGGACATTCCATTATTCAGGAATGATTCTATGAACTTATTTTAGCACCATTTACAATTTTACATCATTGTTGCAATTCTTTGCACTTTTTGGTTTTTACATGCGTTCATTATTGATCACATGCATTTATAGCGCTGCACTTGTCTTTAACATAGAATAGTTACGTGATTAAAGAGAATGAAGATATATAATTATATTGGGAAATTAAAAGTATATAAATTATTTGAGATATAAGTGTGAAAATGTTTAACATTTGAATACAGAATGTATGACATTCATTAGTAAATGCATTAGTTTCCTGATCATTTTGGAGAAACAGCAAAAAAAAGAAATAAAAAAAAATAGAAAATTCTAATACAGGTGTACTATTTATTACATTCTAAGGATTCTCTTTTGCTATCAGAAAAAACGCCAATATTAATAAAGCCCGCGCTTGTGCGCCATCTAGCGAACATATCCGGTATTGCACCTAAAAATGTGCCAGACGGGATACCACATTTACTAATAGCAAAGTAGTCAGTAGACGCTCGTTAATGAGCTTGCTAGACGCTGGTCAGACGACTGATTGATTGACCTGAGTCTGCCTGAATGGTCAGTCTCTGCTAGTACACTCACATCTTAGTGAATCTAGGCCTTGTTGTCTATGCACTATCGTCTATGCCACAACAGAAACCCTCTGTGTTTTAAATTCATCGGTATAGATGTTATTAAACAAACATTGAAGGGGGTGTTTAAACGGAGAGCGATATCTAAATTAGAAACCAAATGGATATTTGACCTCCGCTCTTTGTCACCATTGTGTTTAAATGTCGAACTCGACATTGTTTTATTGATAATAGTTAAGGAGTACCCCCGATTCAGTATTCCCCCCCTCTTTTATATACCCCAATGGATATGATGTTTTTTATATTATATATAATAATTTTTTTTATTATATATATTATTCATATTTTATATGCTTCATTATACTGTCCCTTTCACATGCGTTTTAGTTCAACTTTCATTTATCCTCTTTTTTAGGTGATTTTAGTTAACTTTCCCAGTGTCCTTTTAGATTTTTTTTATGTGATGACTGCCATCTAATTGTTATACATTTTATACATTTTAAAGAGAGTATGAACAATTATGTGTTGATACACCCAGTTTATGCGTTCCTATGAATTTTAAATAATTTTATTTTATGTTTTACAATTGTTATGTCATACATATTTTTATCCTTTTGAGATACTTCTATCCACTTAAGATCCCCCATTTCATTTTTATCATATTGGTTTTATATATACCTAAATATTCTTTAATATATCTTTTCTTTTCTTTTTTTTTTTTGGATCTGTTTATTGTATTTATCCATATGGTCTGTGTATATGTTTTTTAGTGAATATTGTATTGAGATTTTATTCACTTGTTTTATTGACACATATTCCCCTTTGGTTAATAACCACCTTCTGCCCACCCTATAATACAATGACGGGTGCAAGGTGGTTCTCTCGTTCTGATAGGACGTCATATGATGTCCTACCATTCTCACTGCGCATGCACGGCTCAGGGAGCGATCGCCGGTCCGCTGTGTCCGAGGATCACGGAAAGAGCCGAAGATGTCGGCTCGGTCATGTGATCAGCTGTGTCCAATCACAGCTGATCACATGTAAACATGGAAATGTCGGTTATCGGCATTACTCTCCTCTCGAGCTGTCACATTGACAGCTTGAGAGGAGAGGAGAGCCGGTAATCGGCTTTCCACGGAGGGGACTTGTACACTGATCATCAGGGCACTGATGATCAGTGTGCCCTGATGATTAGTGTGGCCCCAGAAGTGCCTCCTGTCAGTGCTCATCAGTGCCACATGCCAGTACCCATCAGTGCCACATCAATGCCACATATCAGTGCATACCAGTGCACATCAATGCCACATATCAGTGCCCATCTGAGCTGCCTTTCAATGTCACCCATCAGTGCCAGTCAGTGCCACCTATGAATGCCAATCAGTGTCACCTATCAGTGCTGCCAATCAGTGCCGCCTATCAGTGCCAGTCAGTGTCACCTATCAGTGCCAGTCAGTGCCGTCTATCAGTGTCAGTAAGTGCCGCCTATCAGTGCCAGTCAGTGCCGCCTAACAGTGGTAGTCAGTGCTGCCTAACAGTGCCAGTCAGTGCCACCTATCAGTGCCAGTCAGTGCTGCCTATCAGTGCCACCTATCAGTGCCGCCTATCAGTGTCATGTATCAGTGTCATGTATCAGTGCTGTCTTTCAGTGCCCATCAGTGATACCTACCAGTGCCTCCTCATCAGTGCCCATCAGTGCCACCTATCATTGCTCATTACTGCAGCCTCATTAGCGCACATCAGGGAAGTAGAAAAATCACTTATTTACAAAATTGTATAACAAAAACTAAGAAAAAACTTTTTTTTTCCAAAATTTTCAGTGGTTTTTGGTTTGTTTAAGAAAAAATAAAAATCCCAGAGGTGATTAAATACCACCAAAAGAAAGCTCTATCTATCTAAAAAAATGATAAAAATTTCATATGGGTACAATGTTGCATGACCGCACAATAGTCATTCAAAGTGTGACAGCGCTGAAAGCTGGAAATTGGCCTGGGCAGGAAGGGGTATAAGTGCCCTGTAGGCTAGTGGTTAAAGTAGGGGATATGCGTTTTTTCCATATGTTGTTTTTATATTTACATTGTATAATATGTGAGGTTTTCTGAGATAACTAATACTGCATTATACACAGTTACACAGAGACAGTTTTTGTTCAATAAAAAGGCATCTATTGCTGGGATCTGTAGTCCCACAATTACAGGTTAGATACAATCCCATTGATATTCAGACGTTCCTATCTGTGATCTAGTACCTTTTGGTCTATGACAAAATGGAGGCTGGTATTCTCTATTTGTTTTACAAGATATAATCCCCATTTTTTGAATCATCTTAATCCTTGTCCTTCAAGGGTTATAATTAACCAATTTATTATCCTGCTGTTAATTATTGAATTGACTTGGTGGTAATTCCCAGGATGAGACGAGACATCTGCATCCATGCCCATCTGTCTCCTAATGCTGTCTGTGTATAACCACATGCGCGAAATGGACCAAGATGGCGTCAATACACGCTATCACACATGCGCGCAATATGCTATTTAAATCACCAGTAAATTAAGGCACGCTCCCTTTGATAACATGCTCGGGCACGAAACGCGCTAGTGAGGAGCCAGGGTGGTGAAGTCATGCTGCACAGGCCATGTGTCAGGCCGGCGGCCATCTTAACTTCTGTCACACCATATTGTGAGTGCTTTTATATCTGGATCTATCTTTGCTTGGAAATTAATAAAACATACTACACTATTAGCATTTTCTGTTTGGGCTCGTTTGATTACGAGCCCCCCCCCCCACCTTAAGGTGGATTCTTGTCCTGTTCTGCATCTGTTATTGAGAGTGACCCCCCTGGTGGTTGTACATGATACCTGTTACCTGGAGAGTGATCCCCCTGCTGGATGGATGAGTGTTCCTGATCCCTGGAGAATGATGACCATTTGATTACCGGTTTTCCATTGGTTGGCCAGATGATCCTTGGATTTTCATCTTTCCATATCCAGAGGACCAGGAGTGGTTTAATTAATCAAATGCGCATAACATTGCGCTGTCTGGTTAGTGCAATGTACACTCATTTTTACATCACTGGACTCATGATTTTCACCTCAATATTGAATTTGGGACTTATGTGCTTATTCATATTATCAAGGTCACTACCTGCACAGTTAACGTCCGCAGACGTTCATCGCACTTCAATATAGTTTTAGCTCTCCACAGCGCAAAATATATCTGTTTATATTCAATGTGTTATTTGGTTTTCAGCGCTGCATATATCTATTAGATTTTATGAAGGTTAAGAGGTTTTGCCTTTATGTCAATTGCTTTTTCCCTGCACTACCTAGCGCTCGTATACCCATTGATATTATAACTATTTTTGGCTTTTAACATTTTTAATTTTGGTGGGCATTTTTTTTTTAAACTTTAACTTTTTAAAAACAGATTGTAGGGTCTCTCCAAATGTGATAGCCAGTTTCCTGACTACCTAACATCTTTCGAGACCCTGTGTAATTATGTACTCTGAACTGTGCCGTGTTGTACCCTGTACTAATACTCCACTAGTGTGTGGTAGCAACGGAAGCAGTCCTTGAGGCAGAGACCAGATTGGTCAGGACAGCAGGATCAAAAAAAGCAGGTGTCGCACCTAATTCCATGTCTGCTACAGACACAACATCTTTTTTGGGGTGCCTTTTGGGTTAGGGTACTAGGAATGGCATCGGGAAAATACCTCTCATGCAGCCGGCTAGCTGCATCTGGGTTGGGGGTTTGGGGCATAGCACCTTCTGGATACAAAAGGGCCGTGATGATCTCTTCCTGGAATTTTAGGAAGGATCCACTTCGTCCAGTTGCTTTGTAAAGCACAAAAGTGTTATATAGAGCCAATTGAAATAAATAAACACTTTTTTGTATCAGGGTCTGGCTTTTTGGGAAACTAAGTATAGCCTCATCATCTAGTCATTGAAGTCCACCCCTCCCATGTTAAGGTTATAATCATGGACACAGAGGAGCTTCTCAACAACACCAGCTGCCTTGGTAATTTGGATGGTCGTTACATAAAAACAGCAAGTAAACGAGCGTAAGGTAGGGTTCAAACAGCCAGCATAAAGGTAAACCTCAAATCCTTCATATAAATATATCCATAAATATGCAGCACTATAAAATAATAATATAATAAAATGGGATGTAAAACATACAAAAAAACAAATGAATATTAAACTGGTAATAATAAAATGGTAAATTCATAAGAGGCACTAGGGGGTGCCAAAATTGACAGTAACGTGATCAACATCCAGACATGGCGCATAAAGTGCTCAAAGTGATGTATTAAAAAAGTCCAAATAATATAAGCCTTATAGTGATGATCCGTGATTCCAGTGATAATATATGGATATTATATTGCACTAACCAGAAAGCGCAATAACTTGCGCATTTGAGTAATTCAGACCAACTCCTGGTCATCTGGATCTGGAAGCCGGGACTATGGGGGTCATCTGGCACACCTCAGCATAACAGGCAAACCACCTCATACATCTCCAGGTTCCAGGAGTAAATATATCCAGCAACAGTAAACAGGAATCACTCAAGTGGGTACCATAGGAATACCAAGGGATATACCTTGAAGGGGGGGGCTCGTAAATAAACAAGCCAGAGAAAACACTTCCAATAGTGCAGTATTGTTGAATAGTCAGCAGATCAAAGCACAATGTAATAGATATGCACTCACATCTGGCACAGACTGAAACCAAGATGGCCACCGGCCTTCCACGAGGAGCGCGCAGCATGACGTCACCAAAGCAGGGCACCCCTCTAACGCGTTTCGTGCCCGAGCACGATAGCAAAGGGAACGTGCCTTTGTAACTATGGTGACTTAAATACCGTGTGGCGCGCATGCGCAGTTAAACATACGGACGCCATATTGGTACGCTCGCGCATGCCCGATACATGCGGCGGTGGCCATTTTCTAGTGGATAATTGTTTTTGCGCTCGGTCACTTACAGACCATTTACCGTGATCTACCAGTGAGCCAAATTAATATAGAATTACATGCACGTGGAAGAAAGACACTGACACTGTTGCAGTTTGTCAACTTCCTAAAATTCTGTTTTATTGAGGAACTAACAGTATCATTTATAGGGCTTATGATGCAGACAAAGCATATACATTGATTGGGTGAAAAGTCCACTGGGTTTCTGCGTGTTCTTCCATCCGTGTTGATATCTTCCAATCATTTTCCCAAAAAGACTCATTCCCTTTTATGGGGGTTGTTTACATTAAAAGATACTTTTCTCCTAATGAGTCACCAAGGGTGAGACTCCGGGTGAAGGTGCCATCTTAATTATCATCATTGTTCTGTCAACCTATATCTGATTGTTTACTTAAGAGAGTAAGGAATTTTTAAAGAGCAAGAAGCAGAAAGTAGCAAGACTATAAAATTGTCATTTTACTGATCATCTAATAAAACGTGGACTATCACCATCCACTACAATCCCCCCTTAAAATGGCTATTTTATTCCTGACTGTCCCTATGTCTTCTGATGTCCTAACTGCCTGTTGGCCCTCCCATTGGAACTCTTTTAAGACGCATATAGAGCCCCTGAGTGGCTAATCCATCCCTAGAGTCCCGATACGTCCTGAGAAGGCCACAGTCAGGCACTATCTTTCCCTGCTTATAGTTGTCTGTTTTTTAAATATAGTCAATCTATCAATTAGGCTCTTCCCATTTTTATCTTTGCGGTTTAAAGCACTTTGCGGTTTATACCCCCAGTCAGGCCCCGTATTCCATCCAACTGAGCCCCAGTATCCGCACTTGTCTCCCCAATAGTCATCCGTCACACACATATATATATACTACTGGAGTGATCCTGATACGTAGTACACTGCCAAGGTTGTTTCGGACAAGGCGCTATGAAGCAGAAGTCAAAGGCAAAAGTGGCCACACGGGTGTTGGAAGAATTGTGCCAAAATGTTATCAGGCCACTCTGTTCGGATGTCCCACCTTCCCTTGTGATTGCCACTCTTTGTCCCCTACCCATTCCCGAAAGCACATACAAAAGGATATATGTGTATAGTCTCATGTTTCTAGTTGTCTTCTGGGGGTGCAACTTTCTTGCAGTGAGATCACGGTAAATGGTCTGTTAGTGACCGAGTCCAAAACATTTTGGCGCCCAACGTGGGGCCCGGGTTCTGAACACCGGATCAGCCGACCCAGAGTGGACGAGGGGGATCGTGGAGCATTCCAGACGGGGAGACTGATCACCTCCGAAAGCGGTAAGTGAATTTTTATGTCTAATAATTCCTTACCTGCGTAGTCTGGAATTGCCCAGCGGGACTACTCACCCGTCTGGCTGTCCGTTGATCAGCAAAGGACAGGTATACTTACTTGCCCGGGGCTCCTTTGAACCCACCTGTCAGTGTAACGTCATCTACCAGTGTGATATGTCTTGTCTTTTGTGTTGTCTGTGTGTACCAGTGTGA